GTTTAACGTGCAGCTGTCAGCTGGAAACCAGCGGCTGCATCACTAAATATTCTCTATGAACACGTTGAACACTTTCTACCAGCATTCCTGTCTCCACCGTTTACAGTAGCGGCATCATGGTGATGTTCCTCATTGTTCTCCATTAAAACAAGGAGCTGACTGAAGCAGCTGCAGCAGAAAGTCTGAGTTGGCAAAGAAAGCTGAACCACCTTCGTGAGACTCATCATCACTGAGCCGGCTTACAAAGCCCAGCTATGTCAAACTGGCTTCGTAGTACAGCCCTCAGGTCCGCTGTCAGACGTTCAAGCAGCACAACAAGAACAGCCCTGACTCCATTGGAGACCAAAATACTTGTCTGTACAATGAGTATACTGTATGTCAGTGGGAGGCAAACATGACCCAAATCTGGCCCTCCAAGAAAAACACCATTTATTTACTGAATCTAAAATCGACAATAAGACAGCCACATGTTTTGTAAATCTATTGTCCTTGAAGGCACAAAATGTAAGAAACAAAATGAAATACCTTATTAAAACCATCAAAAGCACAGCAGATCACATCATGTTTATTTTGGTCACACGGCTGATTGTGGCTGTAGGCAATGATCCTCATATCACAATGACACCTTATTTGATATTTATACCACAGCTAGCCCTTTGCATTTTTATCTCACCCTTAATCCTAACGCAGATAAATCAGGAGGTACCCAGGCACCAAACTTAAACATCCACTAAAACTTTCCATGATGCTTCCTACGCTGTTTGACTGCGTGAGGTTTGCTCTTCTTGCTGTGGCATCGCTCTCTGCCTCAGCAGCCGACCGTAGAATCACCTCCCACTCCTCATATTTGCATAAATTTAGAAGATGGAAGTAGACATTAATTCCTATTTTATTTAACTTTTTTTTTTTCTTTAAATTTGGTTAAAATATGCATAAGGATGGAAACCTGGCTATAAAACAACAACCTACTGAAGGTCCTCTGGTCTCGTCAGCAGCAGACCAGCGGCTCTGAACACATTCAACCAGATCTTTGTCTGATCACAGAGCCTGTTTACTGTTTAATGTGCTGTGGTTGACCAGAGCTTTCACATCAGAACGTGAACGCTCAGCAGCTCTATAAACAGGCAGTCAGTTCAGACCGACTTTGAGGCAAACCCAGCAGATTACCACCACAGCTGAACTCCACAATTCACAACACCACCGAGCCACCAGCGAGTGTGAGCGTCTCTACTCAGCCACAATCTGTCAAACAGATGTCTGGCAGCAGCTTTCTGAAATTAGATCTGAAACTAATTAATAAAGACCATGATGTGCGTTCACAGTTCTGACTGCAGAGCAAGTTGCTGCACGCATGTGGACACCTACAGATTGAACCTGACTGAGTCTGTCTGCAGCCGCTGACTCATTCCTGTTCGCGTCCATCACACGGTGACCAGCGTGGCTAATGCAACGCGACCAGCTCCTTCAGCACCAACTGCTAATCACCGCATGAAAACGTGGTTTGACAAACCATTCAGAAGTCCTCCAGGTTTCACAACACCAACAGCGTCTCCTGCATCTTTCAGTGAATTCAGCACCTGTCCCCCCAGGGCTCTGATGGATCTCACTGAGGAAAGGCTAAATCCTCTCCTTGTGCAACACCACTCCCACAGGTCTACCTCTGTCAACAGCAAAGCCACAAAAGAATAAAGAAAGCAGAAAGAAACAGAAACAGACAGCCCCAGACAGCAGCAAATGAACACATACTGCTTAGACGACAGAAAGAGCCGGGACTGGGATCTACATTTGTGTTATAATAGGAGAAATTAAGCCTATTCGGGAAACCGCTCCGGGTAAATCCAAACCAGGACCCCTCCCCCACAACATGCCCCCACATGTGTCACGCACACCTTTCTGTAGCGCTGTTGGTGCAGGTAGCTGTTATGATAAGCCATGACTTCACTTCCTGTGGACATGTTGGCAGTGGAAATGCTCGTGTGACAGTTTTCAATGATCTGTAATAATAACAAAGCTGTGAAAGGAGCTATTTCAGGCCCCTCTGGTCCCAGAAGTAAAAGCCGTCCTCATCGTGCCCATGTGCAGTGTTAAAGCACTGCTGTGGTGGGACTGGGACAGATCCCTGCTGGTTGTACAGATGATTACCAACAAATACAGTTGTGTAACGACAGAGGGAGAAGGTACAAGGCGGTGACCATACGAGACGTGGTGAAGTGTCTAGTTCTGATGTTTTGGGTTAACTGTGGACGACATCAGTCGAGTGCTTCTTCTGTTCCCAACAGAAAAAATCACATGTTGCACATTGACTGTCTCTAAATAGAGGCAAGGCTTTATTTCTAAATGGAACTGCTTTAGACACCACATCACAACATCAGTCACACCTCAGACATACACAGAGGAGGTCATCAGCTGAACTGGGCTGTAGGCAGTGTCTCACAGGACACATATGTTTGGCACAACAGCTCCAGTACGACGGGTCACATGTTTTCCAGTATTGGTAACACTTTGGTCACTTGGAAAACTGCTGTCCATCCCAGTCTCCAGGAAGTCCACCTTTGGCTTCTTCTCTTGTTATGATTAATAGCAGCATAACTTTGTTGACTTCTAGGAGGACCTCTCTGCTTCTAGCCACCATGGAGCTGTTTCCACAGAAGCTCTGGACTTCCCATTGCAGTAGAATGAGTCCATGGTGAGCAGACATGTGAAACTGTGGGGAGTGTTCAAGAAAAATGGTTTAATGGGCCACACAGTAAACTAACCTTGAGGATAACAAACTCCAACCTCTGAGCCTATAATTCAGTCGGTACGTCCAAAATCCTTCACTTCAGCACACAGTAACGGATCAGAACAAACCTATCAGACTCTTCACTGAAGACTGATGTCAGTCATATTTAATTACAGCTCCATGTATTGGCAATGCCTCAGTTCATCCAGATGTGTAGATTTAATAGCATGACATTCAGAGATATTCACACCACTAACAAAACAGCACTACAGACAGAAACACACTCTGAGCAGCACGTTTCACACAAATGGATGCAACACAACGCACATCAAACGAGATGCACCGACCGAAGCGTGAGCTATAAAAACCATTAATACAACAATAATGTCATTCTGTCAGCGCCGCAGCAGAAGGCTGACTGGGATGACCACAGCGAGCCCATCAGCCAGGTTACCTTCAGGAGTATCAACACACTGCAAAGCAGACAGAGAACGCCTCTGTCATCACGTCTGTCGAGCTTTGTTGTGCCTTTGGCAAGAAAGAAACAGAGTGGAGGAGATTGCGTGACTGAGAAGGAGGGAGTTTTCCTCCCTGGTCTGTGCTGCTGTCCTGTATGAGGATGGCCCACTCTGTCTTCTCTTCCTCTCTTGCCTCTGGCCTCAGGGCCCATGGTCCGGTTCAGTGGCGCTGCTGCAGCCTCGGAGCCAAAAAGTCATCCAGCAAAGTTCAGCGACACGAGAAAAAGGTTAAACAAACACAGAAACGAGCTAAGGGTTTATGTCAATCACAACGTCTGTCTTCAAAAAACACACAGTCAGTGGCAGCACCACCACCTTGGACGGGCCGAACTCTAAAGACAGCAGCGCTGGGTGGGTTTTAGCCCTGTTGCCATGGAAACCATTGTTTTGCCCTCTTCCTTCCTGCCGTGCATTCCTCCACACAATGCGATGAAAAGTAAATTGCCTTTCAACAAAGCAGATTGGAGTGGTGTATGGAAAAGACGAGGGTGAAGACTCGGCCGGCTGAAAGACGCACAAGAGCTGAAACGAGCCGCCTGCAGAGGCCGAGCGGCGCTGCAGCGGCGCGATGCGTTCACGCGCTGGTCAGTTTGCATTCTCAGGGCCGCATGTTACCTGATATCAGGTAGACAGATTTTATCTCTGACTCCCAGCAGCGCCGAGCCAGACAGCAGAGTATTTAAAGAGTAAAGAAATAACACCCACCCAGATTAGATGTGCGCCACTCAACAAAGGCCCACGGCGCAGACGGGCCGCGGCCACCCTGATAATCCCTTAAAAGCAGAAATCCACACAGGATGTCACATGACTGTTGCTCCAACACACGCTGTCTCACCTCGCCTTCTTTAATCGAGCTTTACTGCACCTTTCATGAGTGCCCTTGTTGGATTCATGAATGGTGAGTGATTGGGAACCTTATCTCCTGGGCTGAGCAGAAGGGCATGCTGGGCTCCTACACTGTGTGTTTTCCAGCACACACTCCAACAGCCAGGTGCATATCATAAAGACCAGCCCTCATGTCAACACAGTGCAGAGTAAATACATCATGAACAAGAGAAAAGGGGGCATGTACTCACAGTTCCTCCAGATAGGGGAAGTTCTTGAACACATATGCTGGAAGCTCAGTGATGTTGTTCATGCTCAGGTCTCTGTGGAAGCAGAAGGAAAGTCAGTAAATGTGCTCATTAGGACATTCACAGTGTTTCCAACAACAGACATTTTATTCATGTTCTTGCTCTTATTCTGTGGACAGTTATTGTGCTTTAATGCTTCATGTTCTGTTGCACTGAATCACAGCGGCGCCCTCTTCACCTGTTCTATGAACTTTGGATTACTTGGATTTTCTCAGATTTAAATAAGAAACTCAATTCTCAAACCATCTGAGTATGGAGCCCTGTTGATGGAGTAAACCCTGGACTCACCATATGAACACCATCCAGTTTGTGACTGTGGTGGTAAATGGCAGACAGCAGGGCAGCTGGGTGAGCCATCTCCTATAGCAGCTTTAGGTCTCTGACTGTGCCTGCATGAATCGAACCTCAACAAAAAAAGCCTTGAAAAGCCCTTCTCTCTAGCCCCAGGGATCTTCATTTGACAAATCAACAAGTAAAGATAGGCGTGTAGCAGCATGAAAAATATGCACACAGGACCTGATTTGCTTACCCGCCAAACCTAATGCGAGCATGTGTGTTTACATCTTCATAATGACAACCAAAAGAACACATTCATATGCACATGCTAGCTGCTGTAGCAGAAGCAGTGTGCTGTTTCCAAAGGCTTTGAAAAGTAAAGGACTGCTACAACAAAAGAGGAGACAAAAGGCTGAGCGGCTCGGAGGAGGCCTCGCTCACGTCTGGAGCCCTAATCTTGATGAGGAATTCACTAACCTGCTTCAAAGAAACGGCCCCCAGATGCCATATGTGAAGAGCTGGCACAATCAGGCCTGAAAACACATCCGGGATTCACAGAAGAAGAAACCCCCTGTACCACCCCCCACTCTCCCAACTGGCCATCTTGAATTTCACTGCCAGATCTCTCTTGGACCTTCTGTGTGGGCCCCTGAATCCTGCAAGGATCATATTGCCCTTCCTCTGCAGACCCGAACACACACACACACACACACACAGAAGCCTTAAAGGCGGGCCCTGACAGAACCCTCCTCATCGCGGCGGTGCCAGCTCCCCTTACCTGCTTATCCTATTACTTTATAGACTATGCAGCTACAACAACACTTCCATCAACATCCACCCACCCCGTATGGCTTTCTCCTTCCCTGACAACATCTCTGGTGCTGTTCTGCAACCGCTGCTGCAGATCCGCCGCCGCCGGTGGTCAGACGGATACATCCCTAACCACATTTTAAACCGTTTGACTAAATCTTCCACAGACTGTTGACTGGTCTGAACCGCATGCAGGGCTGGGGAGGACAAGAGGCCTGCATGACTCTATCACACTTCCTCCCTCCCTCTGCGTCCGACTGCTTTACTCATCAAGGTCCTGGCCTGTCCCTGCTAAGACAGATTGAAGAGGACACTAAAAATGCAGCTGTGATAAATGGTGACAAGCCTAAACGCTTCTACAAACAGGTATCTGTGAATTCCTATCCCATGTGCCTTTTGGCTTCACTCTGGCAGCGAGGAAGCAGATGATCTGAGGAAGATATGCTGAGAGCAGAGGAAAATACAGCTGCAAAGGTAAAGCATGAACATATTCTAAAAGTCAAACACAACTCCTGCAAAAACACATTCTGCTCATCAGGTGACTCAGACTTCCGTGTTTCATTTGTAGACATACTCGCTCATTAATCATTAATAATTCGCTGTCTGTGCAGTCGGTGTGAGCTGCAACGTGGCAGCTAACTAATCCTGATTTCTAATTAAATAAACCTTCATGTGCTTAAATGCATTTGCTAATTACAATTCCTCTCGTAGCCACACTTCTTCATTTTCTGTTCGGTCTACAAAATGTCAGTAAATACAGAAAAACCACCATTTCTACCATCACAGCTCCCAACGCGCATGCTGCGTAGGTCCAACGGGTCGAACCCAAAGTCATCCAGCGTCCTATCATGAATGAATAAAACAAAAGCAGCAAATGAGCACAACTAAGACGCAGCTACGAGAGAGCTAGTGAGCTGCTAGCCAGAGCGGTGAATGCTGTGGATGGATGAGATGATCAGCACAAACGCTGGGCTCTAGAAAACCTTCAGCCAACCGCACCTACTTCTGCTTCAGGGATGTTGTAGTTGTGAATTTACAGCGTTTGTGCATCTGCATGCAACACATGTATGTTTATTTCTCCGTTACGAAGCTGAAGCATCCTAAAAAAGCATGTTTTTCAAAAAAAAAGATGTCGACCAAAACATCTGTCGACTACACATCCTCAGGACCGCCTCATAGCGGTGATCTGTGGAAAACTTAGTGTATTTGACAAGATATCAAATAAAACATCCAGAAGAAGTTTCAGAAAACACAACCGTCAGCACAAACACACACACAAACGAGGCCTTAACAATAAGCTCAGCTATTACTACACACGTACTTCCACCTGAAAAACACTGGGCGTGACCGCTGCACAGCCGCTTCAACCACCCCATAAATCCACCTGTTGTGAAACTGTGTACAACCATTTCTGACGGCACAATAGGATTCGTTGTCAGGACAAGAAAACACCAGTTATCCTGATCCTCCCTAAAGCCAGCGCCTGACCGAACCAAAGCAGAAACCAGTCAAGGACTTAAACCGAGATCATAAACCAAGAACCACTGCAACGTAACTGGAGACGTCATCGGTTCCCAGAGGAGCTTCAGCAGAAGGTCCAGAACGAGTGCAGCACAAGTCAAGCCTGGTCAGAACAGACGCTGCCGGAGAAGATGTGGACCTGTGGTCTGATAGAAGTCAAAGCTAACAGTTGACCCATAACGCAGGTGCAAGAATGAAAACCTTCCCTCAGAGTGGGAACAGCAAGCCATTCATTAGCTGAACACAGCAACAAATTCTCATCCAAAGCCTTAAAAACTCATAAAAAGCCTGTTGCCATTCATGTCTAACTTCTACTGATGTGGATCAGAACATCCAGCATGTTCATGTCACATCCTGCCATCATGTCTTCGTCTGAACAAATGACTCCTCTGCATTTCAGATCCTTACATTTACAACAATGCTCCAAAGACGCAGCATGCGGCGACCACACACTGGAGCCAGAAGGTCTGCAACACACAACCTGTCTGTGTTGTGATCACACTCTGAACAACAACCGTTCCTCACACAGACTCACAATAAACCTGAGTTTATGTAAAAGAATGCCATATTATGACTTCTAGGTCGTAAAACGTACAATAGCACATTCACAAGCACACGGTTCAGTCCGTCCACCTGAAGTTAACCTACAACAGAGCAGAAGGCCTGTTGCTATGGCGATGTGCGGTTCAGGTGGTTAAGCTGTTGACCAGGACGACGTCTCCTGTTATACCGTTTCATACACCCCAGCTGGCAGCCAGAGAAGAGTGACTGTGGTTCCAGAAAAAAACACAGCTTGTACACAAGTGATTAATATAGATCTGAAGCTGATTAGCTGAAGACATGTGATGGTATTTATAGAGACAATACGCCTCCATTCATGTTTCTGACAGAGCCGGTTAGCAGGACGGTGAGGTCAGCCGGCATCAGCTGATCACTCAGATGGTTCAAGTGTTTTCATCTGGTCAGATGTGAGGAGCAGTTTATCAGCTCACTGCCAGTTCACACGCTATTTTTAATTTCCCTTGAACTCATTACACTATTTCCTCTGTAAAGACATGTGCCACTGTTTCACTACTTCCTCTGGTTTTAGAGACTAAATGATGTGAAAACACAAAGCAGGCTGTGAATCCAACCAGAGAACTGCTGAACTTCTGAAGCAATTAAAATTAGCATTAAATGTGAAATGTGCACTATTAAGGAAACACGTTTTACATGATGCACGTCTTATCCAGGGATCAATAAAGCTACATCTATCTATCTGTCTGTCTGTCCGTCCATCCATCCATCCATCGTATCCCTGCGCAAGATTGAAATATGGCCTCAAATTCGTTTTCGTTTTCTTGAGTCTAACAAAATGCTCTTAGACCCAGTATGACGACCAACTCAGCGGCTCAGTCGTGTCGTACTGACAGTAAAGCCTGGACAGTTATTTCCAGCCAACACAGCAGGTCCCTCCACATCAACGGAGCCACATCTGCTATTCGAATGGTCACTGCAACACAAACAAAAAAAGGCTGCAGTCACCTCATGAACCACCTAAAAGCTAAACTTTACTGAACTCAGCCTGAGCAAATCTCTCATTTCTGAAAACCAGCCACCAGGTCTTGACCATGTGAAGTGAGGAGCAGCTCGCGGCTGTGTGGCTGGGGGATGGGACTAGGTGTAGAAATGGAGGACAGAGTTAAGGACTCAGAGAGCGGGGCGGGGGCAGCGTTAATATTCGCCCGTCCACGGCTCATCCTGTTTGGGAGCGGGAACCACTGACTGGCTCCTTTCACCTCTGCTGACCAAGAACAAAAGTATCATTCAGTTAAAAATGGATCGAGGGCACCAATGGTGAAGCTCCACCAGCAGAGTGCAAGACCCCTGAGGCCACCCCTCCGTCTGCCCCGGGTCTCACTGTGACACAACTGAGACGTGGGCTGTAATAACCCCTCATGTTACCTTCAGATGAACCACAGCTCGTGCAGACGTTACACCCAAGAAAGCGCCTCCACAGAGAGCCAGTGACAGGTAAACCACATACCTTCAGAAGGAGTGTTTGCTTTGTTACTGGCTGAGGGGCCTTTCTCTCATCTGCTTTTCTGCAGCAGGGCTGTTTCCATTACAGCAGCCAGAACTCGGGCCCCTGTGGGCTGCAGGTACGAGTCCACGCCAACACTGTCACATGATTTATAGTAAAAACGCAGGGTCTTCTGTCTCCAAGTTGGGTTTTTTTCTCCAACTCAACAGCAGATAGACGACAATACACTAAACAGCCTGCAACACTCGTCCTTGTAATGAGGTCACGTCGTTACCTTTGGACTGCTGCTGCGGCTGCATATGTAATAATAATATATGTACAGGTGGCTGTCTTCATGTTTGCACACATTCTTTTCTGTTACCAATAAAAGATTCTTCTAGCTAGTTTCTGCCTTTGTTAGTGTCTCTGTGGCATCACACCAACTCCAAACACACACAAATAAATGCCAAGCAGTGCAATGAGAAAACACAACACATGCGATATTCCCTTCACACATCAGCAGCGCGCTGTGGACGTGTTCGCCCTGAGAGAAGCAGCCGTGCAGCTGCAATATGTCTCACTAATCCATCATGATCCCTAACCCCACTGCTGCACATACAAAAGACAGAGGGAGTGGGAGAGGACAACCAAAGTTCAAGAGACCAGGAGAACAAATGAGAGCAGGACAGAGAGAGGGACAAACAACCTTTCACATACTTTTAAAAGTCTGAAGTGAATCCATTAAGCAGTTCAGTGTTTAAAAGCTGTCACAGAGCATTTAGATTACTGTGTGCAGGGCAGACTGTGAGAACAGAAGACAGCACAAGCCTGAAAACAACACACCGCTTTCCATTTTGGCATGAAACTGGCCTGCAGAGTGGCAGTCAGGCCGATATCAGTTTGTGAAAACAAAGTTAGTGTTGTGATTGAGATGTCAGCCTGCCTGTGATATATGGCAGCACTTCATCCCAAAGGAAGGAGTCTCTGAGAGGTTCAGCGGTGAGCACAAGGCCCAGTGTGACATGAATCCACTTCCTCTGTTTAGTTTACCTCACACTTTATAACAATGGTGATTTCAAGTGGCACGCCGTCGGCTCTGGTGCACCGAAGGAGCAGCACACAGGTTTCCACAAACAGGGACACAGTCTACACCCTCAAAAAGTCCAACCACGAGGATTTTCTTAAACGTGTTGGAAACAGACACACGCCTCTGTGAAGCTAAAGTCACCGTTTGTTCTAGCAGCCGGTTACTTTGGTTTGTGATTAACCCAGAGGTTATGAAACACAGCGTGTCATCACCGCTGTAGCTGCACCACTCCACACACACCTACCTGCTGTCAGGTCCTCCACCTTTTACAACAGTGAGTGACTTGAAGCAGTAAACTGTGAGTGTGACTTCTGGAGGACAACGTGATAACGGCCCCACCTGGACTCCTACATGTTCTGTACAACATGAGCAGCACGAGGAACAAGGCGCCGCTGGCTGCTGTCCACGCATTACTCACCAGATCTATCCCTATTGGTGACCTCAGCACGCTGGACATCACTGAGCGACTCAGTCACAGAGCAGCTCTGACACCAACTCAGAAAGCTGAAAGTTTCTACCAGTAATCTGCCTTCAGGTGGCTCGTTTGATGCCCCCAAAACACCGACATAAAAAATGTTTGTCTGGAGCCAAACTCATGTTTAAATCTATTAGACCTAGGCTAAGTCTAAGTCTAAGGCTAAGGCTAAGTCTAAGGCTAAGGCTAAGTCTAAGGCTAAGGCTAAGTCTAAGGCTAAGGCTAAGGCTAAGTCTAAGTCTAAGTCTAAGACTGCAACAACCACTGCTGCAGCTGCATGAGGGACTCGTTTCAGTAGAACAGAAATGCAAAGCTGAGACATTAAAACTTTGAAAAGTACTTTAAATGCTGGTCTGGCTTCTGGAAACAAGCATCATGTGCTTCACAGCAGAATGACCACGTTGGTCCAAGAGCAGAAGAAGCTCATCATCATGTCCATCGATGACCAGAGGACGTCTCAGAGCTGCTCAACATCTAGTCTTTGAAAACATTCACTGCATCCTGTCAGGCTGCGATGCTGCTTCAACTTTTAATGGTTGTGAAAACTTTAGATTTTGGACCTTTGGGAGGCAATTTCAAGACATTAGTTTGGTTTTAGGAACTTCAGATGTACATTTTACCCGGATTCTGACCCGCTGTAGACGCCACGCAACAACTGACAGCGAATAATAAATGTCCAGAGTCCAGGGTGACCTCCTGACCTGACCCGGTTCTGTGAACAACAAAACCAGTCAAATCAAATCAAATCTGTGCATCTGCATCCTCGGAACCAGAAAACGTTCAGAACAAAATGGGTCGATGACTTATTAGTGTTTGGTCAGAAAAAGGAGAACAATGTTGAGCAGCTGCAGGTTTACTCTGGAACCAGAACCACAGGACTCACCTGTTCTCCTATCAAATCAGGCAGGTAGCCAAGCTGTCAGCTAATTGGTTAATCACTGCAGCGCCATGAAAAAGTGACTTAAATGAGAACTTATTACAAAAAGCAGTCAAACAGCTGCTGGTCCTGGAGCCGTTAGCTGCAGCTCTGCATCTGTTCGGTTCTGTGTGTGTTCAGAACTTGTAGCCGCCCTCATGAAGCTGCTAGCGGCTGGTTAGCTGTTTACCAGGTGGAGCTAGTTAGTCAGCCAGGTCCAGGAGGTGGACACGGCTCCACACATGAGGACGGTCCTCTGGCACAACTTTACTCTGATGTTCATCATGCACTTGCTCTGTAAACAGAACCTCTGAGGCCTGGTTCTGTCCCGGGTCATACTCACAGGTAGTAGGTGAACGTGCTGAGCCCGGCCGGGACGGCGGTGAGTCCTCTCCCGGAGCAGTCTGCGCCCCCATCTTCATCGCAGCTGCATGACGGCGAGCACACGGCCGCCGACTGCCCTTGACCGGCGGCACCGGGACGGAGCAAACACCACAGACATATCCAGAACAGACCCATGGTACCCCCCGTCTCACGGCGGCGTCGGTTCAGGTGGCGGCGGCGATAAAATACCACGAAATAAGCCGAGAGAGAGGCGGCCTATTGTCTGCTCCGCTCCGGACGTCGACTTCTCATGTGGCGGAGCTGAAGCTCAACAACAAGCCCACCGAGCCACGGACCGAGCCACGGACCCACCGACCGACCACCTCCTCATCCAGCGGACACGCGAGGCTAGCTGCTAGCTAACGGAGCGACCTGCTACCTTCCGCGGAGCATTGCTCAGCCCGTGTGTCGGTTAGTCCATGAACACGGCGCGGCGGCGGCGGCAGGAGCTACCGTGCGTTTCTTTACGTTTTCCTGGTCCCATGAAATAACCCGAAATACCGATAAAACAGCGGCGCGTCGGTACCAGCGATAAAAACAGGAGAAGAAGGAGGAGGAGGTCCGGCGGCGGTCCGGTCCTCAGGACGGCTGTTTGCTTGCAGGAGATCACCGTCAGTGTTCAGCCATTCCTCACGTTCCCTCCTCTGCTCCTCACATCAACAGCGCGTCTGCAGCTCGGCGGCACCCTACCGGACAACCTGCGGCACTGGGCCCGGCCTGCGCAGCGCCCAGCCTGCAGCAGCCAGCCCCCCCTGCTCCCAGTCACTGGACCAGTCACTAAACCAGTCTGCTCCCAGTCACTGGACCAGTCACTGAACCAGTCTGCTCCCAGTCACTGGACCAGTCACTAAACCAGTCACTAAACCAGTCCGCTCCCAGTCACTGAACCAGTCTGCTCCCAGTCACTAAACCAGTCACTAAACCAGTCACTGAACCAGTCACTAAACCAGTCACTGAACCAGTCACTAAACCAGTCTGCTCCCAGTCACTGGACCAGTCACTGAACCAGTCTGGTCCCAGTCACTGAACTAGTTCGCTCCCAGTCACTGAACCAGTCTGCTCCCAGTCACTGAACCAGTCACTGAACCAGTCACTAAACCAGTCCGCTCCCAGTCACTGCACCAGTCACTAAACCAGTCACTGAACCAGTCTGCTCCCAGTCACTAAACCAGTCCGCTCCCAGTCACTGAACCAGTCTGCTCCCAGTCACTCAACCAGTCACTGCTCCCAGTCACTGAACCAGTCACTAAACCAGTCCGCTCCCAGTCACTAAACCAGTCTGCTCCCAGTCACTGAACCAGTCACTGAACCAGTCCAGTCCCAGTCACTCAACCAGTCACTGAACCAGTCACTGAACCAGTCACTGAACCAGTCTGCTCCCAGTCACTGAACCAGTCTGGTCCCAGTCACTAAACTAGTTCGCTCCCAGTGACTGAACCAGTCTGCTCCCAGTCACTAAACCAGTCACTGAACCAGTCTGCTCCCAGTCACTGAACCAGTCACTGAACCAGTCTGGTCCCAGTCACTGAACTAGTTCGCTCCCAGTCACTGAACCAGTCTGCTCCCAGTCACTCAACCAGTCTGCTCCCAGTCACTCAACCAGTCTGCTCCCAGTCACTGAACCAGTCCGCTCCCAGTCACTAGACCAGTCCGCTCCCAGTCACTAAACCAGTCACTGAACCAGTCTGCTCCCAGTCACTGAAACCAGTCCGCTCCCAGTCACTGAAACCAGTCTGCTCCCAGTCACTGAACCAGTCTGCTCCCAGTCACTCAACCAGTCTGCTCTCAGTCACTGAACCAGTCCGCTCCCAGTCACTAAACCAGTCCGCTCCCAGTCACTAAACCAGTCTGCTCCCAGTCACTGAACCAGTCACTGAACCAGTCTGCTCCCACTAAACCAGTCTGCTCCCAGTCACTGAACCAGTCCGCTCCCAGTCACTAAACCAGTCACTGAACCAGTCTGCTCCCAGTCACTGAACCAGTCACTGAACCAGTCTGGTCCCAGTCACTGAACCAGTCCGCTCCCAGTCACTAAACCAGTGACTGAACCAGTCCGCTCCCACTAAACCAGTCTGCTCCCAGTCACTGAACCAGTCCGCTCCCAGTCACTAAACCAGTCCGCTCCCAGTCACTAAACCAGTCACTAAACCAGTCACTGAACCAGTCCGCTCCCACTAAACCAGTCTGCTCCCAGTCACTGAACCAGTCCACTCCCAGTCACTAAACCAGTCACTGAACCAGTCTGCTCCCAGTGACTGAACCAGTCTGCTCCCAGTCACTGAACCAGTCTGCTCCCAGTCACTGAACCAGTCACTGAACCAGTCTGCTCCCAGTTACTGAACCAGTCTGCTCCCAGTCACTAAACCAGTCTACTCCCAGTGACTGAACCAGTCTGCTCCCAGTCACTGGACCAGGCCGTGGTCCTGGCGACTGGACCAGGCCGTGGTCCCAGCACCAGGAGGCCCAGTGGGTGACCAGGCCGTGGTCCCGGCACCAGGAGGCCCAGCGACTGGACCAGGCCGTGGTCCCGGCACCAGGAGGCCCAGNAACCAGTCTGCTCCCAGTCACTGAACCAGTCTGGTCCCAGTCACTAAACCAGTCTGCTCCCAGTCACTCAACCAGTCTGCTCCCAGTCACTGAACCAGTCACTGAACCAGTCACTGAACCAGTCTTGTCCCAGTCACTGAACTAGTTCGCTCCCAGTCACTGAACCAGTCTGCTCCCAGTCACTGAACCAGTCTGCTCCCAGTCACTGAACCAGTCTGCTCCCAGTCACTCAACCAGTCCGCTCCCAGTCACTGAACCAGTCCGCTCCCAGTCACTAAACCAGTCTGCTCCCAGTCACTGAACCAGTCCGCTCCCAGTCACTGAACCAGTCTGCTCCCAGTGACTGAACCAGTCTGCTCCCAGTGACTGAACCAGTCTGCTCCCAGTCACTAAACCAGTCACTGAACCAGTCTGCTCCCAGTCACTCAACCAGTCTGCTCCCAGTCACTCAACCAGTCTGCTCCCAGTCACTGAACCAGTCACTGAACCAGTCTGCTCCCAGTCACTGAACCAGTCACTGAACCAGTCTGGTCCCAGTCACTGAANGACCAGGCCGTGGTCCCGGCACCAGGAGGCCCAGTGGGTGACCAGGCCGTGGTCCCGGCACCAGGAGGCCCAGTGGGTGACCATGAGCTCCTGTCTGGGTGCAGCCTTGTTGCCCAGCTGTGGAGGGACTGTGCGGTCTGGCTGCTGCCTCGTGTTCCTGTACGACTGATCAAACCAGTCTGACTAAGAACATGCACCAAGTCCTCACTGCACTCCACTGACTACAGACAGAAGTCAGATAAAACTGCACAAACAGCTGGAAGGTCAGCGTGTGTAAATGTGACTTGATTTCTGGTCACACGAGTGTTTACCAAGTCCAAATGCGGGTCTCCTAGTGGGCTTTGTGTTCACTTGCTGCTGTGCATCAGCAGTTGGAGGCCACATGTCACCTCTATGCGTGTACAATACGACACCATGCAGCTTTATGAGTGTGTCCGTTTGTAAATGGATAAATAAAAATACTGCATCACGTTTGCATCACACAGAATAGATGAGAGCCTGCAGAGCACTGCCGACTTCCAGAAGCTAACAAGTCAGGCTGAACTGCTCACACAGCTGTGGAGGGTCAGTGAGGGTCCATATCTGCTCATTTGTGGTTAACTATTTGTTTTTACCAAGTCCACATCCTGGTCATGTAGCGGGCTTTGTGTGCACTTCCTGCCGTGCATTAGCAGTGGAGGCCACAGAGAATATCCCACTGTGCAGGTTGAAGAGTCTCAGTCAGTTTGCTACTGATGAAGCAGCTTTAATTAGGAATATGCGGAGTATTTGCATGCCAGAAATAACATGCAACCTTCCAAAAAAGCTTTGAACAGTCACTGTGCCGACCAAAAACGGCATTAATTCTAGGAGGTAACAATCAGGAAGCTGACACAGCTTACATTTTATTGGACAGTTCGGATCTGTAAACAAATCGCCCTGTCAGTAATCACACGCTCACACCGTGTCGTAGAAAGCTTTCATAAAATCAGCCAGTACAGAGATTTAAAAGTTAAAAAGTCTCTTTAATGAGATAATTTATTAATATAATACAATACGATAGTATGCAGGCTGCATGTGGCTCAGTGGTCAGCACCGTTGCCTCACAGCAAGAAGGTTGCCGGTTGGCGTCCCGGTGAGGACACCCGGGATCTTTCTGCGTGGAGTCTCCATGTTCTCCCCGTGCAGCGTGGGTTCTCTCCGGGTTCTCCGGCTTCCTCCCACAGTCCAGAAACATGCTGAGGTTAATTGGGGATTGTAAATTGTCCGTAGGTGTGAATGTGAGTGTGCTTGGTTGTCTGTCTCTAAGTGTAGCCCTGTGATAGACTGGTTACCTGTCCAGGTGAACCTGCCTTCACCCTGAGTCAGCTGGGATAGGCTCCGCCCCCCCCATGACCCTAGTGAGGATGAAGGTGTAAAGATGATGGATGGATGATAGTATGCACTTTATTATGGGATGGAAGGAGTGTAAATAAACACGAGAGCCGTTTCAGTGCTCAGACTGAAGGAAACTACCTCCATGCAGGGATGAGCGTCGCAGACGGTTTATTGTATTGTTGCTCATTAACTGCTGATTTGCAGAAAAGAAGCCTGGAAATGAAGGATGATGTGTTTTGATGATAAATCATGTGACAGCGTTGGCGTGGAGCCTCACCTGCAGCACACAGGGTCTTCAGCTCTGGCTCCTCCACTGGAAACAGCAAAGTGCACGGCCATGAAGTTTCATACAGAGCACCAGCAAGTGGATGGTAGAGTCTGAACTGTCGGTGGGACTCTTTTAACGTTGCTGGTTGCTTAAAACACAATCGTGTATCAACTTGTGAGCAACAGAGGATTATGTTTTCTATGATTATCAGGTGAAATCTTTATCTGTGATGCGACACAGGAAGTGAGTACAGGACAGAACGCTTCTGCTTACTGGCTGATTTCTGGTTCAACAATTACACAAAAGCCGCCACAAGACAAACATGTGGACTTGGTAAACTAGTGTCTCAGCACTAGTTAACTCGTCAGCAGCAGCAGCAGATGTGCCTGACTGGGATCATTCAGTGAAGTCGTAAGTCTACGATGAGAAGTGCGCAGGCTGTTTTACACCTCAGACAGGTGACGGAGATTAAAGCTACACTGGTGTGAAGACTGCCGGGTCCAACGTTTCCTGCCTTGAGGGGATTACATATTGTTGTTTTTAGGGCTACCTTTTACTTCCTTGTCTGTTTAACCCACAACACACAGGAAAGCAGCAGGAGGAGCTGAACCAATCAGCAGCTGCCATCAGAGACCTCCAACCCCCAAACGCTGCAGGTCACAGGCGTGTTCTGTGGTGTTTGTTATTTAAATATGGGTCAATTCACCATAAGCATGTTGTAAAGAACCAACCAGCTACATCATGGAGGTGGAGAACCGGGCTTTCTGCAGAATATGTGGCAGGAAACCTTAACAGTTACCATCATTCCAGTGAGCATTGATCACTGGTAGTTTAAGGTGTTTCATGCTACGTCTTCATGCACGTACAGGACTCTGCAAATGTTGAAGGAACTGGACTCTCAAATGCATTTATTTATTGGTTAATGCTGCAGAAATCTGGAAAATGC